CAGAAGGAGGATCATATGGGATATTTTCAAATAATGTATCTGTTACAAAGGTACTATAACTTCATAAATCAGTATACTTCTGATAACAATGCAAAGCAGAGATTTATAAATAAAAGGAATAAAGACAATAGAGCTGATTTATGAAAGCAGAAGCAAATGCAGAGTTGTTCCCATCTTTCCTACAAGGAATTTTATTGGATGTTATAGACAACACGTTTGTCTTTTTGTGTCCCACTTCATAAATCACTGCCTCAATTACAGCCCCAATTCCAAAACGTTGGAACGCTGTGTATAATCTACAAAAAACAGAAAGCAATGATTTGCAAATCTCATGAATCCATATATTATTCACAAAAGAAAATAGAAAACACATCCAATGTTTAACCCCTTAATGACCGAGGGCTTTTTTAAACATTTTTTTGCACCCATGATATAATCCACATTTTAGGCCTGAAAATTACTTTAAACCCCTAAACAGGGGGTAGAATAAAATGGTGGCAGTTGCAAATTTTTATGTTGCATGATATTAGCGCAACTTATTATCAAACCCAAACATTTAGTGAAAAATGCACTTTAGTTAAATTTAGTGCACCAAAACACAATAAAATACCCATTTTTAAAATGAAATATACAAGATAAGGTTACAACAAGTAAATACATACCCAACATGCCCAGGTTAAAAACTGTGTGTGTGCATCTGTGAAACGGCGACAAAATTCAGTACCCCAAAAAGTCCATAGACGACGCTTTAAAAGCCCCTACAGGTCATCAATTTAGATATATGCATAAATATTGGCGCTAGAATTATTGCTCTCACTCTGGCGTGCACAGCCATACCCAGCATGTGTAGCGCAATCATCGTTTAAATACGTAGGCACACTCGATGCCTGTTTATGTTATGATGCGCATGCTCGCGGGGGAGAGCCACTTTTAACATTTTAAAAATTATTTTTACATTTATTTAATTTGACATTATTTTAAAAAACTGTTGTTTTTATTTTTTTTTGTTTACTTTAATTGCTATGACATAAGGGGGATTATAAGCCCACCCAGGTGATAGCATATTGGTGGTGACAGGTCCTCTTTAAGGTGATACTGGGGGTCCAAAAGACCCCTAGTATCACCTTTTCACTCTACATATGCTATTGAAGTGCAGATCGCTTCAGGAGTCCAGCAACGACAGCTATGGGGCCGGAAGTGATGTAATCTGCATCTCTCCCGGTTCCATAGTGCGAGGAGGAGGTCGGTGAACGGACGTTCATCACTCTCTTCCCAGCTCCCGACACCCAAAATGCCAGTCTCTGCATCTCTGATGGAATAGGCGTGCATTAGTGTTTATGGAATGGGCAGCTTGCACATCTGGAAAGGCACCATCAATGCTGAGAGATACAGTATATCCAGGTTTTAGAGCAGCATATGCTCCCATCCAGACTATGTCTTTTTCAGGGAAGGCCTTGCATATTTCAGCAGAACAATGCTAAACCGCATACTGCATCTATGACAAAAGCATGGCTTTGTAGTAGAAGAGTCCGGGTGCTTCCTGCCCTGCCTCAGCAATTGAAAATATTTGGTGCATCTTGAAACGTAAAATATAACAAAGAAGACCCAGGACTGTTGAGCAGTTAGAATCCTATATCAGGCAAGAATGGGACAACATTCCTCTCCCAAAACTCCAGCAACTGGTTTCCTCAGTTTCCAGATGTTTACAGAGTGTTGTTAAAAGAAGAGGGGATGCTACACTGTGGTAAACATGGCCCTGTCCTAACCGTCCATCAATTTCAAAATGACCATATTTTTATATTAAAACAGTACAATTTCTCAGTTTAAACATTGGATATGGTTTCTATTTTCTATTGTGAATAAAATATGGGTTTATGAGATTTGCAAATCATTGCTTTCTGTTTTTATGTAGATTATACACAGTGTCCCAACTTTTTTTGGAATTGGGTTTGTACTTTCTTATTATCAATTTGGTATTCATATTTTAGGATTATAAAGTAATTAAGATTTCCTTTTCTTTAACAGCAAAGTAAAAATGACATGTTATATAAAATCTATGTATTTAACAATGCACATAGTTTCTTTGGCTTTTCAGCATGTGTATTGCACTTTATAACAATTTAGCTGAGTTATGTTGCACTGTGACTCATATTTGCTCTGGCTAAAAGTTTGCAACCAGAAAAATGTTCATGGGGAAGTGCACAGAACTGTGTGTTCTCATGCATCTCTGTAAAAATTAACTAACTTAAATTGACACTAAACCCAGGAGTTAAAGCGGACCTTTACACTCGAAAATCAAATTCTACTAATGCATCCCTCTGTGTATGATGATTAATAATAACATATGTCAGGTGTAAAATGCTGTGATTTTGAAATACTTAAGGCTGTGACACACTGCACGCGAAGCAGCACGGAGCCTATTATGCAATTTTCAAGTGCAATACACATGCAGTGCAATACACACGCAGAGAGCTTGCATAGCTGAGCGTACCGAGATGAAAAAACCTGCACGTCAGGATGCGACATCTGGCCGGTTGTTACGCACAAGGTGCAGTCAATCATCTGCCTGCACTCAGCTCGCACACTGCACGCAAAGCTCTGTGCCGAACAGCTTTGCTTCGTTCTGCACGGCTTTGTGTGCAGTGTGTCACGGGCTTTACACTTGCAGAGCATTCACTTCCTGCTTTGAAAGGGCAAAATGACTTCAGTTTGGCAAAGCAATGCACACTGGGATTGCTTTGTCATCAGCAGAGCATTGCTGGGAAAACTAATCTGTAATCTCACGAGATCTCAGGGAAAGGCATTTTCCTCCCCTGAGATGATGTGCATGGCCACATGTCATAGTCACATGTCTAAGTCACATGTGACAGAAATCAATGAAGTAAAAGGAAAGCTAGTAATCTGCCCTTAGTAAACATAGCCACTGTCAGAAGACTGGGCAAGAGAAGAGAAATAAGGTATTCAAAACCTGCAATTATCTAGAAGTATGTGTTTGTAGATTATCATTACTAAACAATTCTAAAGGTGTGTTTGTTGTTATTTTAAAGAAATGGGTAAAGGTCCACTTTAAATCTTAAAAATGCATTTAAGTACCTTAACTAATAACACAAATGTAACTTATTTGTGTATCACTCGGCTGTAGATCCTCACATAATCTCTGAATTGGTGCTGACACTGTCCTTCCTTCTGGAGGGTGGCTCACTCCCGTGATGGACTACAATCTCACGTTTTATTTACTAATTTGTATTGAGATTGTAGTCCATCATGGGAGTGAGCGGTGCGAGTGAAACCCCAACAAAACTGCTTATTTCAATTAAGGTAGAAGTGTGCACTGAAATGCTGTGGGTAAAACTATGCTCATCTTTAAGGCTCTAGATCGCGCACGTCAACTAGTGATTCCTCATCCCGCTTTACCTGATGTTCCCATTCGAGAACATTCAAATATAACCGTCATTAATCTAGGCAATGCAAACTAAACATTAAAAGAAAAAAATGTATATGCAGATGTTATATTTATAATGAAAAGTTGAGATTGGCTCCATCCCTAATGTCTCTTTTTATTGATATAAAGGGCCGTCTTAATAACCAAAAAAGAGGCTTAAGCTGGCCATACACTGTAAAAAAAATTTTCGTTCAGCCTACAGGCCGAACAAAAAAAAAAAATAGCCAATTCCTCCATCCACGCTAAACAGAGTGGATAGATCAGGTCAGAGTACTCAAACAGTGTTTGCCCAAAGATTTTCCATTCGGCTCCCCAAATTTTCTGATCGGAGGATGTTGGGCAGAAGGGTGCTGACAGTGGCACCAACTGTGCGCATTTCAGCCAGTTCATCAACAATTGTCCAAAATCTGCACAGTGTATGGTCAGCTTTCAAAGAGTGGACAGGGTCAACCATGACCTTCTCATCAAATGCGTATTTAATTACCCAGAGGAAAGACAGGTTTGCCTAATGGAATGTGGCTTTGTATACATTTTCTTTATTCTCCTCAGAACTATAAGGCTGGCTTCACACCTGGGCGTTCGTAATATGCGCATTTGACGCGCGTTTCGTGGTGCACTGTTTTACCGTGATTTGCGGTCCACGAAAAGCGCGTCAAACGCGCGTTTACGAAAGCTATCCGGCTGTATCCTAATGGATACGCGCGGAAATATGCCCCAAAAGAAGCTCCTGTACTAGTTCGGGCGTAGGGCGTTTTTCTGCGCGTCAAAACGGGCTGAAATATGCCCAGGTGGGAACCATGCCTATTGGAAATGATGGAATTTCACTGCTTGAGTGTTTTTCAGCGCTTCGATCAGCGCTGACAAACACCCAGGTGTGAACCCAGCCTAAAAGGGCATTTTTAAAACAATATTTAGTTCCGTTTTGATCAGCTTGACTTCCAGCTTTGCTGCAAGATACCTGTTTACAGAATAGCTTTAAGCTGAATCTGTCTCATTAGATTTCGTCACCCCTTATGATAAGCATCAGTCCAAAATTTCAGGCAGGCAGATTCTACTCTGATGTCTTTAGCTAACCCTAAATCTTTTGCTGTGTTTATTTGTAAAACAAAGATTGTATATACCAGAGAATAAAAAAAACAAACATAAAACATTACTTTACAAAAACTTTACAGGGTATCCTTTGACACCCACAAATATTTTCAGAGGAGCTTTGTGGTACCTAATATAAACAGTGGGGTGAATTTATCAAAACTGGAGCAGACAGAATCTGGAGCAGCTGTGCATGACAACCAATCCGCTTCTCTCTTCAGTTTGTTCAGTTAAGATTTGAAAAGGAAAGAGAGGAGCTGATTGGTTGCCACAACTGCTTCAGATTTTGTCTGCTCCAATTTTGATAAATTCCGAAGTGTATTTGTAAATGCAAGTGTAGCTTTACAAACAGTTTATCCTCATAATCCTCAACATTAAAAGTTCAGAGTGATGTTCTGACCTCCACCGAAACAATCTGCAGCAGCTTTTGTGTTCAGACAGCTTTAGAGAGCATTGTGCATGCTAGTACCTGGACACCAGGCTTGAGAGTTGATACAAGGTCTTTCACCATTCGGACTTCTGAGACAGATACTCCACCAATGACAAACAGGATAAGTAGAGGGGAGTCCCCTGGATGTGGACGGCTGACCTGGAAATATAAAATAAATAATATCGGTTCTGTGTTTTTGCCAATATTACATTTTCCTTCACAGCACTTGGCTTTGCAAAGTATTAGATATTATTCCATACAGTTAAGAAGCGTACACCTTTTTCTAACAATGCATTATACCGGTTAGCCAGACAGTGGTGCATGCTGGAATAGTCTTACAAATAGTTACTTTTATCATATCATGGATAAAGTTACAAATCACAATGGAAATCACCTCTCAACCAATAAACATCCCCTTCATTAAAAAAGAACTCCGGGCATTTTAAAAACTCTCCCTTGCAGTGGGGCTACCCCCTCACTGAAAGGTTTAAGTGCTCGTTTTTCTCTAGGGGATGGAATAAAGCAGATATGCTGACTTGATCCTTGGTCCTGTAGCGGTCAGCCCTCACCTCTCTCCCTGTCTGCTCTGGGTGTGCAATGTCCCTTAGTGTCCTCACATCTAATGCAAGTCAAAAGACATGGATTAGACATGATGATGGCAGCGGCCCTTAGACCACCAGAGCCCAGGGGAGAAAAGGCTGTGGGGACCGGTCTAGCATCTCGGCAGGATCAAGGTTCAGGTCAGTATACCTGTTTTATTCCATCCCCTAGAGAAAAACAAGCATTTAACCCTTGCAGTGCAGTGGTAGACCTGGTATTCTTCACAATCATATATTATAACTTATTGTGGCATTACCAAACTTATGGTTGTCACATAGGACTCGATTAGGCAGTATTAACCCTAATTTGCATGAAAAAGTTCCATGCAAAATGGGTTTAGAAATTTTTCCTGTATGTGATCAATATCTCTATAAGCCCTTTTGATAGCATCCTGATGACACTGTGTGTTGTCATAGTGGTGATGATTTCTTATGAGGGCACAATATGGTGACACTAAGTACTGCAGGAGGGCTGGATTTATACTTCTGTCCCCTGGGACTATTGTATTGTGCTGACCCTCCTCCTCCACAAACTGACTGGCGCATCAGTATCACACTAACTCGATCAGATGTTGCCTACACAAGGCACACTGAGACAGGGGAAGGAAGACTAAAAGAGTCATTACACCTAGTGAACCAGTAGGCAACAAGGTTACTCTACTCCTTTAGTAGTTTGGTTCTAGTGTATTAACCAGACAAGGAGAACTAGAAGTACAAATTACAACCAACAAAAATGTACAAACTGTGCAGGAATACAAACAATAAGGACCTATCTGGATTGCATCAGCAGACAGGGCGGTAGTCTGAATCCTTCTAACATGGGAATCCGTTACAAAGAGTCATGAAGATTATGTATGGGTGGCTGTGTGCCACTACTGGCAATACTGTCACCCAAGGCTATGGCCTATTTTGGCTATAGAGATATCCAATACCTGGCTGTAGGGTAACGCTAATCAACTTAGTTGGGCATAAGGGTAGTCATTAATACTTCTTTCTTGTAAACTCAAGCAGTCTGGTGGTTGGTACTACTGGCTGGTTGATGAAAGACTTCTCTCACGGAAATGACACAGGAAAAGACTGGTATCCATAATATTGATGTGTGAAATAGGCATGCAATTGTCCGATGTTGAGGAAGTGGAAAAAGTTTTTCAGGGGTGATAAGGTGGTACACCAATGGAACTATGGAGGTTGTGACAAGTAACAGTTACACCAAGATGATATAAGTTTAGCAATATATAGAATCTTTGCAGCCACTACTTCCAGGCAGATAGTAGTATGGTGTCATCCTATTTGCCAAAATACACTGCCATCTTTACAAAATGTCATAGCAGCTTGCAGAATTATTCATCATAAAATGAAGGACACAAAGTGTTTCTCCTAACGCCTCCTCTTTTTATTGCTCTGGTTTAGGAAAAATTAAAGCAATGCCAAACCAGCAATTGACTTGGAGACAATCAGATTTCTGCTCACTTTTTCCACCTTTTAGAAAACAAAACTAGGAGTTTGCTAACACAAGGATGCAAAGCCTGTCAGCCATGTCTTCTTCACTAGATTATTGAAACTGAAAGACATTGCATAAATCCAGGTGCTTTATAATGGCCTTTTAGTCAGAAAGCTTTCTAATTTATGAGTAACTGTCAAGAGCCAGGTTTTCTCTATCCTATGGGTAAATATGGAGAGAGCAGGTCTCTGTTGGCCTTTCCATAAATCATCTAGCAAGTAGGTATTATCTGTTCAGGTGGAGAAAATAACTGGTTTTACTGGTTTCAATAGAGATAAATGACAAACAATAACTTACTCTGGAAAGTAGACAAATAAAAAGCTCAGAAAGTGATTTTAAAAAGTCTAATGTTGAAGCTTGCACACAAAGTCTTCGTCACAGTGGTTACCCAGAAAAGAAGTGAAAGTAAATGTCGGCAACAGGGTGCGTGGACAGCAATTGAAACACTTTTTTTAAGTATAGTGGGAAGGAGTTAGAGCTTTTCTCTACAACATACATCAATAGGAGCGCTATCCGTTTTTGTCATAAAACAGAAGTTCTCTAGTTCAGGAGTTAAATCTTAAAAATGCATTCAAGTACCGTAACAATTAACAAAAATGTATCTTATTTGTATATCACTCGGCTGTAGATCCTCAAATCATCTCTGGATTGGTGCTGACACTGTCCTTCCTTCTGGAGGGTGGCTACTTTTGTTCCCCATGGTTCCTGTGTGTGTTTGTAAAGTAGCCACCACTCCAAGCTTACTCCTGTGATGGACTACAATCTCAATACAAATTAATAAACTAAACGTGAGATTGTAGTCCATTACAGAATTGAGCTTGGAGCGGTGACTACTTTACAAACACACACAGGGACCATGGGGAACAAAAGTAGCCACCCTCCAGTAGGAAGCACAGTGTCAGCACCAATTCAGAGATGATTTGAGGATCTACAGCTGAGTGATACACAAATAAGATACATTTTTGTTAGGTAAAATTAGAAAACACTTGGTATTTTCTACAAACCCAGAATCTTGATCCATATTTCCCCTTCAATCCATTTAACAGTTTAGTCAGCTAGATGTATATTTCTACATGTAAACAGACAAATAAAATAACACATTGCCATATCATGATGATAAAAAATTACAACAAAAATATAGTCTATTCTGAACTAAACACCGCACAATCTATTAAAATGCATGTGCAGATATTTACTGTTCCTCTTTCCCCACTAATAGTTAATCATCAAAATCTGACTAATAATCAGGGAAGGCTGATCCCAGGTGGCTGGGTGGCAACTATCCCAGATGCCAGTCCTTTTCCCTGAGAACATTGGCTTCTGCGTTAATCAGGACTTCAGAAATTAGAATGACTCCTGCATAACTAATTTCAGTGCATTAATTTAAGTGAAACTACCAAGTTGTGCCAGCTGTGACTCTTTCCTCTTCTCCTGAGCTACATAATTAGATTAGTGTATGACCGAAGGTTTTGTAAATCAAAGTAAAAGTAAATTTAAGTTTGTATGTCTGCTATAGAGGAAATCATCCCAAGCATTCAAACCATAGGGACTTTTACCTGTGGCATGAGCCTTGTATCTTGAAAGCTTGCTATAGTTTCTACAGTTACACCCATCCAGGGGCATAGCTATGGTAATAAGCACCTATGGCAAACACCAAAATTGTGCCCTTGTTTAGACATCTGGCACCTCCGTTTTGGCATCATTTAGAGCCTGGCAAAGGAAGTGAGTACTGTAACTTTCCTTGCCTCAGATCTTTGTTTACATGTGACAACTGCGACTGGCTGCACTGCCTGTCACTGCGGGTTTGCTCTGATGGGAGGTTTGAATGGGGCACAGCTTAACTAAAGGGGCAAACACTGCCTTTGTTCCTGAGTGGTGCGGTGTCCCCCCTCAAGTGTTGTCCATGGCATGTGCCCTGCCTGCCATGCTCTAGATACACTACTGCACCTATAAAACATGAAATTAGCCATATACACAGGGAGTGTATATACACTCGGACGTTTGTCAGATGCAGAAGATTTGTTAGACAGCTTAGCTCTGCCACAGAGTAAAGATCGGCAGCTTGGACTGTGGCTATTTTTTTTTTAAAACGTTAATTTACCAACATATTCACTTTAAGCTAATTTCCTGAAACAAGGTAAAACTATCAACATTGTTCAAATGATATAACTGCTGGTGAATACCTCACACTAAAAAGAAATTTGGCTCGTGTTGCGAAATTGAATTCCCAATATACAGAGATTATATTTTCATATATTAACTGCTATTATTCTTTTATAACCACAATTAATAATGGCCAAAGTCAACCTAAAGCAATGGTTGTGTTTTGATACTTTTTGCAGTTCTTGCTGTAGGAATTCCTTCAAACTATCTATTACTGTTACATGGTCAAGGTGTTATGCATTTTATTAAAGTAGGAATATTAAAAGTTTGGTCAGTTGGGTTACTCCCACCTCTTTACAATGGAGCATTCATACTCAAACAAATGGGCAAGCTCAATCCAGCATTAACACCTTCCTCTTACCCAGCCAAACTGTACCTTGCCAAGAAGGTTGACCTGCCTTTGAAGTGGGCTCTTAAGAACTAACCTAATTTTGGCCTTATTATCCCTAAGTGAAAGAAAGGGTAGGCCATTTCATTATTAACAAAATACGATTACGCTGACATAGCAAACGGTGTGGACTTAACTACGAGAGTGAGTTTAACCATCTATGTGACCAAGCCTTGTTTCTCCATTATAATTATATATGTTATTTTCTGATATGCAAACATCTTCCATATGACAAAGCCAACCAAATATGGCAAGTCTATCAATATTTAAAAATTCTCTCTACTTCTAATATTTTTCTTCCCACATGCTATTTTTCACCCACAAAAGTTCCAGGATAATGGAACACTTTTACTAGCAACATCTCTTTCAGAATACTAATTTCCATTTCTCTGCTAACCAGTACTGGATTGTTGCATATATTACTGTCAAATAGTAGTGTTTTCCAAATTTTTGGTTGCTAATGCAGCTTGAGTATCATGTGTACGTCTACCCTACCCAAAGAGCCTCC